GTGGAGTGGGTTTTGCTATAGGGCACGTGCACTCGCCAGAGAGACGAGACAGTGAAAGTGAGAAAACACTCCCCCAGTGGGGATGGCCACACAACAATTCCTTTTCCTCCATTCTCCTCTTAAGATCTTGGGCACACTAAAACCACAGCGAGATATCAAATAACCCCTGCCTGTCAGAAAGGCAAATATTAAAAAATACAAAAAAATGACAAGTGTTAGAGGGGTTGTAGTGAAAGAAAACTCTTCTACACTGTTGGTGGATATGTAAATTGGAGCAGCCACTGTGGAAAACAATATAGAGGTTCCTCAAAGACCTACAAATAGAACTATAATTCGACCCAGCAGTCCCGAAGGACAGGAGAACACTCAGTTGGAAAAGTGCTTGCACATCAGTGTTTATTGAAGCATTATTCACGATTGCTCAGACATGGAACCAACCCAACTGTCCATGAACAGATGAATGGATTGAAAAAATGTGGCACATAGACTCTATGGAATACTATTCAGCCATAAAAATCAACAAGACCCTGGAATTTGATAGAAAGTGGTTGAATATGGAAGATTTATTGCTAAATGAAGTAAGCCAGGTGATGAAAGACAGATATTGTATGGTCTCCACTTAATATTTACTGACTGTCCACTGTCTATAGCAGAGATTGAAATATTGGAGGACATAAAAGAAGTGAAAATATATGGACACTGGAAGCAGTGTGGGAGGAGGATAGGAAAAGGGAAGCGTATAGGGAAAAGGAAGAGTATAAGGAAATCAGGGGAAGAAAATAGAGAAATAGGACATTTGTGGGATACAGAAATGGTTTATCTGTTGATGATAACATGTATAGTACTCTCATCTGGACTGGTCTGAAATGTATTTCATGTTGCATAAATTATCTTTACAAGTCAAGTGATAAATAGCAATCTAATGTTTCCAAAAATAATAAGAATAATAAAAATAAAATTAAAAAAGAAGTATAACTGCTAATCAATACAAACAGTATTTTACATTTCTACTCAACCTTAGCACCTGTACAGTATTTTTAAATTAAAACATACATATCAGCTGCAGTTTTTAAAATTATTCACACATTGTAGTAAAAAAAAAGAAATCTCGGGCACACATACATGCACTTGGCATGATTTTCAAGCTACTGGATCCGGGACTCAAACTTCAGTCAGTCATGTGAGAGTCCAGCAACATAAATGCTATGCTATCTGCTGGCTTCAATAAATAATTTTTGAAAAAATAAAATAGATGGTGGGAAATAATCTGAATGTCCATTTAGTAAGAGTCTGGTTAAATCCATTGTCTGCCCATGCAATGGCACACCTTACCACTCTTAAAGTAAGTAAAGACTAATACGTGGCAATATGAGGGTTCTTCATAAAGTTCATGGAAAAATGCATATTATGAAAAATAACAGTGCCTGGATTTAAGTTTGGTTTTTGTACCCAAATAAACTCATACATTAATCTCATTTTTCCATGAACTTTTTAAGTTTCCTGATAAGCACTAAGATACGTTGTGGAGTGGAAAGAACAAACTCCAGGGTGGTGTGTATTGTACACTAGCAGCTGGGTTATAAAAATGTGTATTTATAGCTTAGCTAGGCACAGAAAAGATCTGGAAGGAAATACACAAAAAAGTTTACTGGCTGTCACAGGGAGAAACTGGGAATCTCAGGTTGAGAAGACATTTTTACTGCAAATTTTTTTATACTGCTGGATCTTTTTAAAAACCACATGTGTGTATGACTTTTCTTCTTTGTTTTTTATTATTTTCTTCCTTTTTTTTTCCTTTTTTTTTTTTTTTTTTTTTTTGCCAGAGAGGAAGAAAGAACACCAATGGAGAATGGTCACACAGCAATCCATTTTCCTCCATTTCTTTCTTTTTTTTTGGAGAGGTTTTCGCTATAGGGTGTGTGCGCTCACCAGACAGACAGAGAGAGACATAGAGACAGAAAGCGAGAAATCACCCCCCAGGGGGGATGGTCAAGCCGCAATCCCTTCTCCTCTGTTCTCCTCTCGGGATCTTGGGCACGCATGCACATGTGCCCGGCGTGAGTTTTAAGCCACCGGGTCCGGGACGCGAACCGCGGTCGACTACGAGGGAGTCCATTGACACAGCCAACACGCTAACTGCTGGTTCCGCATTTCTTCATCCCATGAGGACCTGGACATGTGTTCACACTCACCCAACATGTTTTTCAAGTTGCCAGGCCCAAGATTCCAAACCATGGTCAGCATGTGGAATCCAGCTCCCTCTGCACAGTGCTTAACAACTGTGCTAAGGGGCCAGTTCCTTGTTTTTCCAAAAGTGCTTCTTTGATATTAGCATCCCATATTTGCCCCAAAGAACTGCTGTCTTTATTGTCCAGTCTAGATACAAAATAGTCATAGTATCTCCTCTCCCCAAAATTGTAGCCACAGTCTTATCCTTCTCTTATTGAATGCACTACACTTGATACACGTTCATGCTATTCTAATGTACGTTCGGGTCACAAGTACTTTGTCCTTTAATGTTGTGCTCTTCTGCATGTTGGCCATGGAGTTGATATGGTTTCTGTGGCCTGCAGGAGCTACTCTCAGGTTCAGACACTGCTTCCTTCACAGCTGGAGCTGAATCATTGCTTGTCCATCGACTAGCTCATGGCATGGATTATTCCCTTTGTGAGGCATTATCATGGAAGCTTTGCAATCAGACACACAATATGATGATGCTATATGTATTACACTCCATAGCAGGGCATCCTAAAGAGCCCTGGCCTATAAGGTTTCTTCAACTCCTTGAGTAATTTTGACCAGTTCAATGCGAGACCATGAAATGCCAGAGTCATCAACAGCCAATATTTCAAGTGTTCATCTGCCCTCTTTCTTTTCTTTCTTTCGTTCTTCTTCTTCTTTTTTTTGTTTTTGTTTTTGTTTTTGTTTTTACTGTAGGACGTGTGTGCTCACCAGAGAGACAGAGAGATGGAAAGCAAGAAATCACCCCCCCAGGGGGGATGGCCGCGCCACAATTCCTCCTCCTCCTTTCTCCTCTGGGGATCTTGGGCATGCATGCACACGCGTCTGGCATGAGTTTAAGCCACCAGGTTCAGGACTTGAACCATGGTCAACTACATGGGAGTCCAGCGACATAGCCATTATGCTAACTGCTGGTTCCCTTTCTTTCTTTTTTCTAAGAATATTTTAATTTTAACTATATTTGTTTGTTTGTTTGTTTGTTTATTTTAATTTGGCCAAAGAGGGACAGAGTGTGTGTGTGTCTGTGTGTGTGTGTGTCTGTGTGTGTGTGTGTGTGTGTGTGAGAGAGAGAGAGGGAGAAAGTAAGCCACCAGGTTATGTAGGAATCCAGCACCTTAACCACCATGCCACCTGCTGGTCTCTGCCCTATTTCTGACCCCATCATTTCCTTCTGTCTGTTTACCAAACTCCCTAACTTTGCAGTTCACTTCCTGATACCTGCCTACCAGACACCTTTTGAGTATTTTTTCTTTTTTTTTTCTTTTATGAAAAAGATTTTTATCAGAGTCTTGGCATGCTGCCTCCCAGGACTAGGTGGATACTGCGACACTGGCATGTTCGGGTTGGTCTGGGAACCAAGCCTGGGGCTCCTGTGTGGTTTCAGCGTCACTCAGTACTCTCCCTCCTACTCCAAGGTGGCTGGACCATAGTTTCCTGGTTTTATCCTTGACACTTGCTTGAAGGTAGGCATTGGTTATAATTTCCCTAGGGAAGTCTCTAGGGACGAAGGGTCACACTAACAGGGGCAAGTACATGCCTTGGCTATCCGTGAAAAAGGATGTCCCCTGGCATCTGGTTCTCTGCTGTACCAATGTGGATGAGGATGGGGACACTTAACGAAAGGCAGACCCTCTCTGGCAGTATTGAAAGAGACATGTTCATGGAGGGCCCACAGGTGTCCTTTGGCTGCTCTAGACATTAAAGGTGCAGAGTGTGGAAAAGAGACAAACTTAATTCAGACAAAAGATTTAAACTGCCACATTTGATATTAAATTCATATATTTTTAAAACATTTATATTTATTTGTTTATTTATTTATTCTCTGAGCAAGAGAGACAGAGAGGAGAGGGAGACAAAGAGAGAGACAGGCATGCCCCACAGTCTCTATGCCACAGTCTCCCCTCAGCCTCAACGAACCCTGGATCATGGGCACACACATGCCCGGCATGCACAAGGAGGTCTCCAGACACAAACCCAGAACCTTTCCATGCGAATCAGCCACCCACGGCCCCTTAAGTTCAGAGCAGTGCAATTAAGGATCCAGGCTCCGTGCAGTATCGCCTCTGGGGTTCCCAAGTTGGTCTTCTCCCAGGTCATCCTCGTCCCTTCCAGGGCTCAGCAGAGTCTCATCGCTGCTTCCCACAGCCTTGGTGAAGGGTCTGGCCTGAAGACACAGGGCCCCAGTCCAGTGTCCAGTTCCCACTGTCCCAACTTGAGGACTCAGCTGTCCAAGCCCTCTGTCTAGTGGAGACTTGT